ACCCTCGGACCTTTGCCCCTAGGTCACGTGTTCCTCTCCTGCCGCACTCCAGGTGGGTGTCATCATGCTAGTGATGGCGAGTCGTGCAGGTGCTATTGGCAAGCCTGCTGGAGACTGTCCAGGCAGCCACCTCCTGTGGCTTGGCTCGCCCTGACCCCTCCCGGGCCTCTCGGGGGGGCCGGCACGGGTACAGGTGCAGGCCACAGTGCCAGCTCTCCGGCAGCCGCGCTGTTCATGGGATATTCGTGTCGTGGAACGCCACGTTTTTATCTCACTGGACTGGCCTCCCCAGGGAGGCCCCTTTGTGGGCCTGGGCCTCTGGCCGGTAGACCTTTGCATTCGCGAACGTAGGTCGCCTGTTTTTTGCTTTACCTTGTTCCTGGTCCTTTCCGCGGAGCTGTGGGACTGGCGCCAGCTCCTGGGCAGGAGAGAAGCCTTGGGAGCAAGGGTTTTCATTGCGCACGGGTGCAGAAGACCGTGGCAGGAAACTAGAAAGACAGGTTTGGACAGGAGTTGAAGGGACTCTGGCGGCAGCAGGTGTGGCCTGGCACCTTGGCCGAGCGTCCTGCACAGTAGACCCTGTTCCAAGAGGATCAGCACGGGATCGTCCTGGCCATCGATGCAGACCTTTTGCAAAACGGTAGATGGTGCTGGGGACGGGCCAGGAGCAACCAGGGTCCCTGGACCAGGTGCGTGGCAGGTGCGGAGGGGTCTAGAGGCGTGTGGAGACCGGCTGCTGTGTGCAGTGGCCTCTTCAACCCAAGACTTCATGCTCATCCCCAGCCCCTGGGGGCCCTCGGACTCGGTAATGAGGGTGCAGCACAGCCCAGCCAGCCAGGGGTTGTGTGTGGGCAGGTTTGCCCTGAGGTGGTCCTTCCGCCCCCGTGGGGGCTGGGGAGGGTCACCCCCGACTCCTTTGGTTTTTGTGTCGAGTTGTAAGAACGGGATGCGGTAGTGCTAAAGCAGGTAGGAGTCGCAGTCCCCCTCCCGCCTCCCAGACACGGCCCCTGTCCTGGCTCTGTCATGGCTGTACTTCGTGGTGAGTGTGCTACCGTTCCTCAGTGTGTCTGCTCTGGGGCATAGGGGTCGCCCCTTGACGCCCAGATCTCCCTAGCTGCCACAGCAGGGGTAGCAGGACTGAGCCAGCTGGTGACTGGCTGATGGTTCCCCACAGGAAGAATGACAGTGTTCTCTTTTCGTTGGTTGGTACCTGTCACCAGTTTTCCCCAGCTGCCCTCGGATGGCCCAGCCCCCCGTTCCAGCCATGCACGTGGCATGTACCCCTTCTCTGGAAGTCTGCCTCTGTGCCTCCTCTCCTCCAGGGCTGGGGGAGGCAGTCTCCCCTCCCCTGTGGCCACCTTGCTGGGAAGGTGTGCATTTCTGGCCTTCCATCCTTCCGCCCCTCCCCTGAACTGCTGTCTGGGCTGGGAGTAGAACTACAGGTTGGAAGCACTGCTGTGTCACTTGAATAAAGTACTCGGACCCTTGGTGTCCCCATGTACATCTGTTTCCGTGCTTGTATGTCAGGCTCTTTCAGTCTGGAGGTTTCTGCTCTCCTGAGCTGCAACATTGAAGGGTTTCTTCCCCAGAATTCTCTGCGTGCTTTGGTTTTTGGAGCAGTTTCTGGCTGCCCTAGAATGGAGGGGAAGGAACAGGGAGCTCCGCGCTCCGGTCCCCATCACCCCCCACCTGATGGACCCACACTGACACTCCATCAGCTGGAGGCTCTCCTTTCCACGGGGGTTCACTGTCCATGGTGTGTGTGTTGTGGGCATGGACAAGTGTGGAAGGACGTGTGCCTGTGCCTGCAGGGTCACCCAGACTGATGGTCTTACAGCCCCGAACCCTCCTGGGCTCCCTCATGTCTCCTGGTGCCCACTAAGGGGTAGGTCTCCCGTCTTCACAGTCCTGCCTTCTCCAGAGCACTGCCTGCACTTGGAATCATAGGGCGAGTGGCGTGCTTGGATGGGCTGCTTTCCCCCAGGGGCACACGACCCCGCTCCCACCCTCGTCTTCTGGTGGTGCGGAGCTTGTTTCTTTGCAGCGCTGGCAGCGGGGTGGTCCGAGTGGAGCACAGTCTGTGCAGGCAGGCGGTGTCCTTCTGAAGGACAGCCTGGGGGCTTCTGACTGTGGCACTGTGGGTAAAGCTACTGTAAATGCCCAGGTACAGGACGCAGTGTGGACGCAGCCGCAGCTCCTTTGTTATGTGAGCAGAGTGTCTGGTTTTGTAGGACACAGCCACCTGCGAGGTATCCTAAGCAGCTGGTGGTGTCAGTGTTGTGGGTTTGGGCCTTGGTAGTAGGTGCGTTGTGGGCAGCTCGTTCTGATTTGGATTTCTTGGCGGAGATTTTTTCATGTGCTCATTTGCCATCTGTGATCTTCCTCGGGGAAATGTCTGGTCTTTGGCTCATCTTACAGTACTTTTCTCTTTCTTCTTGGCCTTTTTTTTTTTTTAGAGGAGAGGGAGGAAAGGAGAGAGAATCTTAAGCAGGCTCCATGCCCAGCTCAGAGCCCCATCCCACAACCGTGAGACCAAGACCTGAGCGGAGACCAAGAGTCAGAGCCTTAACCTCTGGAGCCACCTGGAGCCGTTCCCCCCCCACGGCCATTTTGCAGTTCTTTTTCTTTTTCTTTTTTTTAAATATTTTATTTATGTATTTGATAGAGATCACAAGTAGGCCGAGAGGCAGGCAGAGAGAGAGGAGGAAGCAGGCTCCCCACTGAGCAGAGAGCCCGATGCGGGGCTCGATCCCAGGACCCTGGAATCATGACCTGAGCCGAAGGCAGAGGCTTTAACCCACTGAGCCACCCAGGCGCCCCCATTTTGCAGTTCTTAAATACAATTGAAACTTGTTTGTTCCTGAGTTGTCATTGGCCTTCTGGGTATTTCTTCGATGACAGCCTTTAATCTTGCACTAACTCTTTTGCAGTCCGGTTTATCTGCTCGTTGTCTTGACGGTGTCGTGACCGGAGTGGAAGTTTGTAGCTGTGTGTTTCATGGGTCATGCCTCTGGTGTTGTATCTAAAAAGACATCACCATGCGCAGGTAGATGTGGGCCTTCGAAATTGCTCCCCATCCTTATTTATTGTTGTGTGTGTGTGTCTTACTCTGGCTCTCAGGTGGCCATGGACCTGTCCTTGCGTCGTGGCACCAGATCCCCCACCTTGGTGCCTGGGGATGGTGGGGTTGTTTGTTTCTTCCTTTTAAGTAGTCTTCTGTCTTGCTTTCCCCCTTCCCCCCGCTGGCAGCGTCTTAAAAGGAGCTAGGGTACAAACAACAGTGGTGGGTACTGCAGATACAGGCAGCCATAGGTTCTAGCCTGGAGGCCTGCAGGTATCTGCCCATCCACGGGTAGTGTGCCTGCCTGTCCAGCACGCTGTGTCCTTGTGTCCAGCATGGTACACGCCCACACCTGCCCACCTGGATGCAGGCAGCAGAGCCCGGGTTCCATTGCTCCAGGAAGGTCCCTTCCCTGCAGAGCTGAGGAAGAACACAAGGTTAGACCCCCAAGCACACTTGGCCTTGGCTTCCAGAACTCATCACCCCCTTTTTCTTTTTGTCTTTGGGGGGTTGGGCATCTCTTCATTAGTGATTTTGGCAGAACTGACATTGAAAGTGTGTTTCTCAGAGAATTTTTCATTCTCTGCATTTATGAGGAAAATGGGCTGTCTGCAGAAAAAAGAAATGTTACAGTAAAGAATATTTTAGATTTTAATGTTTTGAATAGGTAGTATTGTTCACCCCCAAAAGCAAAAAAACATGTCAGAGATGCACTGAAGCGGGGTGCCCAGCTGGCTCAGTCGGTGGAGCGTGCCACTCTTGACCTCAGGGTTGTAAGTTCGGGCCCCATGTTGGGTGTAGATGGGACTTAAAATCTTTAACAACACCCAGAAAAAAGGGCACGGAAGCCAGTATGAAGGCCTCTGCCGGGCATGCCCGGGGCCACTGGAGCATCAAAGCCACAAAGTAAAACAGGAATGTCCCGCCTTGTCAATTCTCAGGGACGGTGCTGACGGGCTGCTGTGGCCAGGGTGTGTTGGCTGCCAACGTGGCGGAAGTGGGAATGTGCGTGTGCTCACTCTGTGCTCACTGGTGACCACGGCCCCTGAGCCTGTCCTCCGGGGGCAGTGGGCTGGGCCTGCATCTTGTCCGTTCTCCAAGGCCTGGGGAGCTCCTGACCGCTCCTGGGGACAGGTGTGGCTGGCAGGCCTCCCTCCTGGCCTCAGGAGCACTTGGCCGGTGCCTGCTGTGGACCAGCTGGTTTTCTGTCCACACAGACCCTCCTCTCTCAGGGCTGTCCCACACCCTGCTGTTTGACTTCCGCCAGGTGTCAAAAACCTGGATTCCTGGGCAGTCTGCCTTTGAGTGAGTGATCATCTCTCCCAAGTCCGTGTGTGGGAGGGACACTGCTGAAGAGTGAAAGGACCATCCCGTGCCCTGGGGGTGGGGGGTGGGGAGCTGTGGGTGGCACTTCGGGCCCAGGTTTCTGCTCTGAATTGAGGGGACCCTGCTGCAGCCTAGGAGCTGCCTCCTCACTGGGGTGGAAGGGCCTGCCAGACAGGCTTCCCCTCAGACTCTATGGCTGATGTGCTGCCCGAGAGCCCAGATGGGGTCTGGTTCCAAGTCCTGCGTCGGGGTGAGTGCTAAGATCTCAGCACGTCGGGGACGGTTGGCCGTGGCGTGTGTCCCTGCTGGGATGGGTGTTGTGGAGGGTCTCGCTTTCACGTCAGGGCGCTCTGTATCCCCTTGCCACGTGGCCCGTGTCGTTGAGCCCACATGGGCATCGCAGCCTCCAGTGCTGGTCACCCTGTCCTGAGATCCCGAGATGCTCCCTTCCAGGGGAAGGACTCCGTTTCTGCTGCTTGGGAGCCTGGTTTCCTCTGCCTGGGCCCTGTGAGCTTTGAGGGATCAGGCCTGTGCATCGGCGGGAGCTGGAGGAAGGGCCCCATGCTGCTCCCTCACACGGCAGGCAGGGACCCGGGGACTGCTGTCTCTACAGGTTTCTCTGGCCAGAGTTCCTCCCGCACGCCTACAGCATGGGAAATATCTTCGCCAACCTCTTCAAGGGCCTTTTTGGCAAAAAAGAGATGCGCATTCTCATGGTGGGGCTGGACGCCGCAGGGAAGACCACCATCCTCTACAAGCTGAAGCTGGGCGAGATCGTGACTACCATCCCCACCATAGGTGAGGGGAGCGTACCGAGGGGCCAGGGTGGGGCTGGGGCGGGGTGGAGGGGCCTGGGCAAGGCTCAGCTGCGTCCCACTCACACAGGCTTCAACGTGGAAACCGTGGAGTATAAGAACATCAGCTTCACCGTGTGGGACGTGGGCGGCCAGGACAAGATCCGGCCGCTGTGGCGCCACTACTTCCAGAACACGCAGGGTGAGCGGGCGTGCTGCAGCCGGCGGAGGGGGTTGGGGTGCCCTAGCTGCCTGTCCTGACGCCCACGGCTCCGCAGGTCTCATCTTTGTGGTGGACAGCAATGACAGAGAGCGCGTCAACGAGGCCCGGGAGGAGCTCATGAGGATGCTGGCAGAGGACGAGCTCAGGGACGCCGTCCTGCTAGTGTTCGCCAACAAGCAGGTGCGTGCGCACGCGCGCATGGTCAGCGGGCAAATGCGGGTGGGTGTGGGGCTCACGGGCGCACAGGGGTCCTTGCCAAGTGCTGACCTATGTCCCCCGGGCCTCTCCCACCAGGACCTCCCCAACGCCATGAACGCGGCGGAGATCACAGACAAACTGGGGCTGCACTCCCTGCGCCACAGGAACTGGTACATTCAGGCCACCTGTGCCACCAGCGGGGATGGGCTCTATGAGGGACTGGACTGGCTGTCCAATCAGCTCCGGAACCAGAAGTGAGCCGCGCCCCCTGCCCCACTCCCTCCTCCACCCTGCTTTACTCTCATGTGGTGTGAGTGCCAGAAGCTGTCTCCATGGTCGGTCACAGTGTGCTTCCCCATGCTGTAAATGTGCAGACGCAGCCTGCAGCCGGGTTCTTATTTAATGTAAATAGTTGTTGTTCCCAACGAGGCAGTTTCTGGTACTCCTATGCAATAGTACTCAGCTTTTTTTATTGTAAACAGAGAATCAACCCACTGTTAATACTGAGAAGGGGTTTTAGGCACACGGGGCCTCCAGGAGTCACTGTGTCTGACCAGCCTGGCACACCTCCTCGGGCGTTTGATCTGTGTTGAGATTCATTTGGGTGGTGGGTTTTTAACCCGAACTCAGTGCATTTTTAAAATAGTTACAAAGACAAGATAAGGAGAACACTTGAACCTACAGGAGGGAGAACCGTGCCCAGTGTTGGTTCTGCACTGGTGGCCGGAGTCCGGTCCACCAGGGGTCTGTTTCCCGCTGGGAACGTGCGACAGGGCAGAACCAGCCACGGTCCATCCTGCATGGTCACCCTGGGGTCCCTGTGATTCGCTGTCTTGGGTCATCCCACATCCCCTAGCGTTTCTGCTTGCTCGTGCTTCCCAGCTGCCCAGGAGACAGGCTGGCGGCTGCAGCCAGCGCTCACGGACCCCTCGGGGTGGTGGTGGGGCGGGGGGGGGGGGGGAGACCTCGGCTTTCCCTTGGGTCTGCGTGGCGCTCTGGCTTGCTCCGGGCGGCCTGGGGTCTCACCAGCAGGAGTGCAGGCGGGCGGGCCGGTCACCCTAGAGCCTCAGCCCCTGGAGCCCCCGTCTACATGTGCTTTCACTCCCTCAGCCTGCAAGGGTCAGATTTGCCATCGAAACGACGACCTCTACTGTTTTCTTTTGTATTTTGATAAACACTGAAGAAGCTGGAGCTGTTAAACTTTATCTTGGGGAAATCCTCAGAAGTGGTTTATTTGGTGTCGTGGAACCTCTTACTGCTTTCAATACACGATTAGTAATCAACTGTTTTGTATACCTGTTTTCAGTTTTCATTTCGACAAACAAGCACTGTAATTATAGCAACTAGAATAAAACGTCTTAACTATTTTGTGGCTTTCCAGTGCTTGGACGCCAGCGGCCCATGGCACGGGTCCTTAGCCAGGGACCAGGACCGTGCAGCTGACTGGAAGTTCCCACTGGCCGTGTCCTGTCCTGGTCCGTCCTGGCAGTGCCCGGCTGTGGGCTGTGCTCAAGGCCAGCTGGAGGGGTTCTGCGTGCAGGCTGCCTGCTCTTTCCCATGCCCATCCTCCCTGGTGCACACCTGCTTGCAGACAGGCACACACCCTAGTCGGCCTGTTCCTGAGCCCCTTGTTGCTGCCACATGCCCTTCTTACTCGTTGAAGGTCCTCCCTCCACTCTGGAGTCCTTGCTCCTCAGCCCGGTAAGGCTGTTGGCCCAGTCTGGCCTCCACCCTGGACCACTCACCTCTACCAACAGCTTGAGACCAGGGTCAGGGTTGTGAGGACGGAGTTGTCTTCGGAATTATGAACCCAGCCTGGGTTTTGTCCTCACTCCAGTTGGTTGTAAGAGTTACTTTGGTTCCATGCGCAGCCCCCTGCAGAGATGGCAGAAGGCCCGATCCTACCCAGGAGAAGCAGAGGACTCAGCAGGCAGGTCCCCGGGGGGGGGGGGGGGGGGGGGGGGGGGGACACATGCCAGAGACAAGTCTGTGCCCCTTGTAATCTAAGCGTCAGGCCCATGTGGGACCATAGGACACCAGCACAGGGAAGTCCCCCTCCCAACGGTTTCAGGCTGGTTGTACCAGAACATGGGTCCAACACCTTCCCTGGAGAGTGAGATATGTTTCCCTTAAAATAAGTTTATTTCAGTACAAAGAGTGAGTGAAAGAAAAATAGAAGCGGCTGTATGGGCTCTTCCCAGGCCCAGTGTGTCTTCCTTGGGTGGCACTAGCTCTGTAAGCTGCTGGGCCAGAGGCTGTGGGGTGGGGGGGGGGGGGCGTAGGCAGGTCTCAGTCACTGTGGTCCCGGCGCCGCCTCTTGGAACAAGGTGAGGAGTCTGCGTCCGAGTCAGAGCCGTGCCTGCGGCGACCAGATCTGAGAAGACCAGGGATGCCCTGAATGTGGTAGGCTGCCCTGCCCCACCACCAGGCCACCCCAAGGCAGAGGCCCACGTACCCTGCAGAGGTGGGGGGCAGCGGCGAGGCCACCCTGCTCCGGTGTGTCTTGTCTTTCTTTTTCTCTTTCTTGTGCTTCTTCTTCTTCTTCTTCTTTTTCTCTTTCCTGCTTTTCTTGTGGCTCTCTGGGCTGTGAGCACACGGCCTCATCACCAGGTCTTGACCGCAGGTGCCCATAGCATGCGACACCCGCCCTCCCCCTGCCCACGTCCCATCGGAGCACCGCCCTCTGGGGACCCAGCAGGCAGCCAATGCACCAAGACCCATTGGGACAGGTGGGGGTGCAGCCCTTACCCGGGCTCTGCCTTGTCCTCCTCTGACCGAGGCTTCTTCCTAGCCGAGGCTGGTGAGGAGCCTGGCCGGCTGCTGTCCACGCGCTGGTGCTGCGGAGGAAGGTCACTCACTCTGGGCGGCGGGGGGGGGGGGGGGGGGGGGGCTCTGCGGGAAGGGGGGGTCCCCGCGGGACACGAGCACTTACCGTGAACACCGACAGCCCCAGCTTGGCGGCCTCCTTGTCTTCCCGAGACAACGCCACTCGGCCTGCCGAGCCGCTGTGGGAAGGCGGGGGAAACCGCCACGATGAGACCGACGGGCCCCGGCCTCCGCCAGGTGCTACCTCCGCAAGCCCAACGCGCCCCGTCCACCCCTCGCCACGCACCTGGAGCTCCCCAGGCCCAGCAGCCGGTCCACTCCCTTCTCCTCGAGGTCCCCTCCTTCCCGCTTACACACCTCCACAAAGTCCTGTGCGGGGGCACGCGGGCGCTCGCAGCAGCTCCACCCCCAACCCCGGGCCCCTGCGCCCCTGCCCCCCCGCCCCCCGGAAGGGCCCCCTCACCTCCTTGCTCAGGCCCGTGGGCTGCTTCCTCACGTTCTTGTAGCCTCTGCGGGGGCCGCGGGCGAACTTCAGGGGCTGCAGGCCGCACCCGGGCCCCGCCCCTCCGTGCCCGCCGCCCCCCAAGCGCGTCCCCGACCCCGCGGGGCGCACTCACAGCGCCGCCATGAGGGCCTCCTGCTCCGCCTGCCGCACGGCCGCCAGCTCCTCCTCCCGGCTCAGTCCCGCACCGTCCGCCCGGCCCTTGGCGTACCAGGTGAGGTCGCGGCCCTTCTGCCAGCGGCCCACCGGAGCCATCAGCGAGTTCCCTGCGGGGAAGCAGTGCCCAGGGCTCGGCCGGCGGGTCGGCGCGCCTCCCGCTTCCCCCGAGGGTGCAACCCTGCGCTACCCAGCACCCGCGGCCCCTCGTTCCCCGCACCCGGGCACCCCCACGGCCCCGTTCCCTGCACCCGCGGACCCTCGCTCCCTGCACTCGCGGCTTCCCGCGCACCTCGACCCCCCCCCGCCCCCGGGCCCGGCGCCGCGCTGACCCAGGTAGTTCTCTCTCTGTTTGTCGGTCTTCACGTCCTCCCAGCTGAACTGGTCCTGCCCGCCGCGCACGCCGCCCCGGCTAGAGCCGAACATGATGCGAAGCCGCCCGCCGGCCCCCGGCGTCTCGAAGCCCCGGCCTCGCCGCCCCGGGCGGCGCCGCCGCCGGCACCCGCTCCCGCGTCGCGCGGCGTGACGTCATCCCTCGCAGGTCCGGCATCCTCCGCGCCCCGCCCCGGCGCGCCTGCGCAAGGGCTCCCGTCCCGCCCGCCCCCGCAGCCACTCAGCGCGATGGGTGGAGGCCGGGGATTGGGGTCCTTGGACGGGAGGTCTCGGGAGACTTGGGAAGACTCCCAGAGCTCTGCAGACAGGCCCTCGGGTCCCCGTCCGCCTCACCCGGTCTGGCGAGACCCCGTGCTCAGACCCCCACCCTCAGGAGGGCTGCAGGTACCTACGCAGAGCTGGGCATTGTGGGCGCCGTCAGGCCTGCTTGGGCCGCTGCCCCGTGGGTGGCTTCTGCCGGAATCCCTCTGTGTGAGCCATCTTAGCAACTGCCTGTCCCCAACACCCTGCCTGTGACTGCCAGTGCTCACGTGCCCGTTCTGTGCCCAGTCTATCCCCTGCTGCCAGTTCCCCGCAAGTGTGGCGTGTAACTTGTTCTGCGCAGCAAGCACTCACCAGGCCAAGGAGCGTCTCCCGCAACCGGCGGTGGCAGCGGGCTGGGTGAACCAGCCCAGCACCTGTCCCTGTGAGCCAGGGACAGAGCCACCTCCCTCCCTCCCTCCTCTGTCAGGCCCGCACGTCCTTCCCAGCTGCAGTGCAGGACCCAGGTCTCAGAGACGCAGCCTGGACCAGGACACAGGTCAGGCCTGGGCCTGGGCCACGCTGGCCGCACTTGCAAAGGTTAGAACTTGCTCCTTTGGTCGCGCAGAAGCCTGGCTAGGGGAAACCCACCCCAGAGCAGATAAATGGCAAGTGCCCACAGAAAGCCTAGTTTGCCATTGCTGCCAGTGAACACCCCTACTCCTATGGGCCAGGAGCAGCTGGGAGCCCCGGTGAGGGGCAGGGTCCACCCGCGCTGTCTTCCCAGATACCCCGCTCCTCCCACCCCATCCCTGCAGCTGCTGTGCTCCGCCAGGAGAGCCCCTCATGTCCTGAGGCTGAATGGGGGATGGGGTGAGGGGGCTCCAGGGCCCATGGGGGCTGGCTCTGGTTCCTCTTCCTCCTCCTACACTGGTGGCCCGCGTGCTCCTCAGGCCTCGTGCAAACACCACAGCCCAACCCAATTCTAGAGAACCTGGTTGGCTTGGTTGGCCCAGAAGGAAAGGCAACGTGGAGACGGCTTTGTGAACACACCATGTAAAGACACACCATCCCCACACTCGCATCCCCCACCCAGGCAGCTTCCAGGCCCATCACTTTTTTGTCCAAAACCGCTTGTACTGCTCCACGTCAAAGTCATCACTGAGCTCTGGCTCCTCCTCCTCTTTCTTTCGGAGCTGGGCCTCGCGTTTCCGGAACCGTGCCCGCCTCTCTTCTGGGGACAGGGCGTCCAGGTCCACAGGCATCTGTGGGGAGGGACATGTACGCGGCTCACTCAGAGGGCTTGGGGCCCTGCCCGTGTCTCCTGCACCTCATTCTCCATGGTGTGGGTGAGAGTTCCTATCTTCTGCTGGGTTCTGTCTCCCCTCAGGGCTCTCAGTCTCTAAGCAAACACTTCTGTTTGCTTCCCCAACGCCGCTACCCAGCAGACACACAGCTGCTGTCTGGCCCTGACCCGTGCAGGGAGCTCCACTCTTCCTTGTCCCTCTCCTCATTCAGCAGTTCCAGTTCATGGCTGCCGTGGCTCCTGAGCCCACGAGCCCTGGGAGGGGCGGCTGCTACAGGCCAGCTTGGCAGGACTGCGCCCCAGGGAGTGCGGGCAGGGCGAGGGGCACACCTCAAGCATTCGTCGTGGCTCCCGGTAGCGGATGTGGATGGTGGAACCGTCCTGCTTGACCAGGAGCACGGGGTAGAGGCGTGCATAGGCTTGTCGGTGCACACGCGTGAGTGAGGCCCTGTTGCTGTCTGCCTGCCAGGAGGATGTATGTAGGCGGGCATGCACCAGAGCATACCCCCTCAACACGGGCTGCCGCAGCAGGCTGCAAACACACACAGACACACACACACACTGGTCAGGGGCTGCCGCTGGGACCAAAGCGCCCATGCCACCCAGCCCCCATGGGGACACACAGTGACGCAGACTGCAGTGGGGCCTGGTCAGAACAGCTTCTGCCCCATGGAAGAGACCGCTGGGGCAAGTGCAGGAGACGTTCAGACGAGTGAGGTCAGAAGTGCAGCAGCTGGGACCCCAGTGGGCTTAGGGTGCCAAGCATCAGGCAGGAGACGACTTCCTGTCCCGTGGCTCAGACTTCTGCGTTCCCCCAGCCTTGCACATCGAAGCCCTAACCTCCACGGGATGACATCAGGATTATGTGAGGTCCTGAAGGCCTCCATGCCGGGACGGGGATCCTTACGAGAGCCAGAGAGCAGAGGTCCCCTGGGAGGACTCCGAGCCCGGAAGACAGGACTCAGCAGAACCCAGCCTGCTGGCATCCTGCACTCAGACTTCTAGGCTCCAGACCTGGGGAGGGGGGCTGCCCCACCTATGGCGTTCTGTGAGGGCAGCCCGAGCAGACCAAGACATCTGCAGTCCCCCCCACCAACTGCCCCCCGGCATGGCAGACACCTGCCCTTCCTGCACACAACAGGTGCCCTGCGGGGAGGGGGCCTGCCAGGAGGTGACAGGAGGGGAGGAAGCCCTGTATGCATCATCTGCCTTGCAGAGCGACCCCACAGCAATCCCGTCCCTTCCAGGCTGGCTTTCCCGCAAACTTGGATTCAGACCCCAGGCTGTCACAAGGCACAATTGCAGAGCTCCCTGGGGCAGTGGGCTACTCCAAGGGCAGACACCCACCACATGCCTTTGCCAAGGCATAGCAAGAGCCAAGATGTCCTGCCTAAACCATTCCCACTGGCTGTAGTCGCGGCCCCATGCTCTGGGGCCTCTCTGCTCTCAGGACAGCCTGGCTGAGTGCCCTGCGGCCGCAGAGCTCCAGCCCAGCAGCACCTGCCTTGGCGGCGTTCCCTCCACACCCTGTACCTCCCAGCAACCGCTATGGCTGAGTGAGGGTGTGTGTGGGATACCAGACCCTGCTGTCCTACCCGGAAGAACACACCCTGTTTGCTGGGAAGTCCCGGAGCTGTCACTGGTGCCTGAGTCAATTCTAACAAAAGACCCCAGACCTGCTGACAGAGTCCTGGAGATGCAGACAGGAGACTGGTGGTAAGCTCTAGCACCAAGGAAGCCTGCAGCAGGCAGGCTGGGGGGGGCGGTGCCCAGGAGCTCGAGACACGGCCACCCCTGAGAAGCCCGGCTGGGCGGGCTGGGGCCGGAACCGTTCCAGCAGCTTGAACATGAACTGTCTTGGGACGAGGGCCCTGCAGCCAGAGTCCCTTGCCTAGCTCCACATGGACCCACAGCTTCATGTGCCCCACCCCTTTCTTCATATCTCCCAGATTCCACAGGACCCACTAGAAACCCCCCGGCTTGGCTTCTCTGCAACACTGTGGCCACACCATACTTCTCAGGGAAGCCAGGGGTGAGGGGAAGGGCAGGATGGGGGCAATTCTGGGGGGGAAGAGCTGGAAGGCATGGCCCTCTTCGAGGACGCAGAGCCAGGCTGGGCTGCAGGATCCCACAGGAACATCACCAGCACCACGTCTGGTGCCGAGGACTCACAAACCGCTTCATTCCACCCTCCACGCCTGCTGTGGCTTCCATCTGCTCCACGTTAACACACTGGCTGGGAGGGCTCCCCTGAGATGGCCCCCATGATGGCAGTCCCCAGGGGCCCAGAAACCCCTGCTTACCCAAGCAGCCTGCCCGCAGCAGCCATTCCTCCTCAGGGCCCTTGTGGCACGTGGAGGCTCAGGCTCAGCCACTGGCCTGGTGGGCAACCTGCTGGGCGAGGAAAGAAGACATCTCTTTACAAGACAAGGATTCCCACCAAACTGACCTTCAGGGAACCCCAGCCCGTTAGACGCCATAGACCCAAGTGCGTCTCCCACGAGGGAGACTGGTCTCTGCCAGTCCCACTCGCACTTGCAGTCTAGAGGTGCCGGACACCCAAACCTCTGCGTCAGGAACCCCGTGGCCCGGTACAGATCCTTTCCAGCGGGTCACGGAGTGGGGGAAGCCGCTCAAGGACAGAGTGGAACATACACTGTGGGGGCTTCTCAAGACTATCTACTTCCCCGGCATACAGCGGGGTCGGGACAGCGGGATGGACTCGGGGCACTGGGGCCGAGCTCCAGGTCGAGACGGCGAGAGAGACACGGGCTACCGGGGGCCGGACGGCTGCGGAGACTCGGAACGCCGGGATCCGGATGGCGGGGGAGCCGGGACGCCGACGGCCCGCGACCCCCGGCGTCCGACCGCCGACGAAGACAGGCCTCCCGGTCCGCGTAGACAGGGCATCCGCGGGCCTCCCTCCGCCTCCGGAAGCGACCCGGAGGGAGAGGAGAGGCTGGGAGACCAGCCGCCGGGGGCGGGGCCCGGCCCACCCGTGGGAAAACCCCGTATCGCACCCACCTGCCCCCCTGCCTGAGCTCCGCAGCAACGCCGAACCCCGGCGTCCCGGCCGACCCGCCACCCCGTCCACCCACGGCCCCGCCGCGACGTCATCCGCGAGCGCTGCGTCGCGTGGAGTTGAGGACAACCCTGAGGGCGGTGCAAGGTCGGCGCCGCGCTATGACGCGCAGTCCTCGGACGCAGGCGGCCGGCGCGGCTCCATGACGTACACCTCCGCGGAGGCCGGGCGCGGCGCTGTGACGTCGCCCAGCGGGCGGGCGGCGGCGGCGGCGGCGGCGGCGGCGGCGCTCATGCTGCGACGCCCGCTGGCCGGGCTGGCGGCGGCCGCCTTGGGCCGGGTCCCCACGAATGGTGAGTGGTGGGGCCTTCCGGGGCGGGCGCGGGGTCGTGCCCCTCGCAGCCCGGGGCTCCCGAGACGCCGTCCGGGGGTCCTGGCGGGGCGGCTGCTCGCAGGCGCCGGGCCCTGCGTTCTTACGTACGGGTGTGCGGTGAAGCTCGTGCCGAGCCGCCCCGCGGGGGCTATCCTCGGGGTGTTGGGGACGCGGCCGGAGGGTGCGCGCTGGAAGCCGGGGCGGCGTCTGCGGGGCGCGGGGGGCAGACGCGGGCCACAGCCAGGCAGCGCTCCCGAGGTGGGCCGCACGCCCGCCGGAGCCCCGGGACAGGCGGGTGCGGACGGCCCTGGACACGCGCTGACCTCCCGGAGCTCACGGAGGGAAGCCGTCCTGCTGCTGCAGCTCTCGGGTGGACTTCCGTCCGCACCGGGAGGGCAGGCCCCCGAGGTCCTCGGAGCTGTCCCCGCCCCGAGGGGCCCCCTCTGGTCGCCGGCGTGGCCGCGGGGTCCTGCTCAGGCCGAGTTGGTCCTTCAAGCTGTCCCGGCCCTGAGGTGCCCCTCCTGTCTCCTGGATGGCCGTGGGGTCCTGCCCAGGCCAAGCTGGACCTCTGAGCTGTCCCCACCCTAAGGGGCTCCCTCCTGTCCCTGCGATCGCTGTGAGGTCCTGGCCCACCCCGCTGTCTGGCACTGCCTAGGCGGTGCAGACGCAAGATCTCTCCCAGCAGTAGGGTGTTGGAGGCCTTTGTTTCTGACTCCTGGGTGTTCTAGGTAGACCTCTTCTCTGAGGACCAGAGACGTCAGTCTGGGCTGCTGGATACTGGCCGTCTGATGTAACTGGAGCTGTTTACAGTGAGAGGGAGCGCCCTTCATTCATCCAGGTGCTGGGGCCCCCTCGCTGGCTGTCATTGGTCCTTCTCGTTGGGGACGAAGGGGAGGGTGGAAGCTGAGGTGTTCCTGGCCAGCGTGGGGCCCAGGGGTGCAGGAGACAGGCTGTGATGGGCTTCCGTGGCCGTCCTGCGAGTGCCCTGTGAAGGCTTCTGGGCAGCACGCCTCCCCAGCGTGGACTTCCTGGAGCCCTCTGTCACACAGAGACCTTCTGGACCCCGCAGGGCTCTGGGATACCTGTGGTTTCCTCTGCCCGCCCCCCACGGCCAGACAGGCCCTCTCACAACCCAGGTCGTGGCCGGGCCTGGCACAGGTGCCTTGCACTTCCACTTCCATCCTGGGAGAGCCTGGGGACCAAGCCCCCCATCTTTGGCTGGAACGAGGGGCATTGGTAGTTCCTGGACACTGGCTTCTAGGGGTTCGGAGGGTGAATGGACGCTGTCAGTTTCTTTCCGACCACAGCCAGACTCTGCTTCTTTGGTCTCGGAGTGTAAACCATTTCTGGTTTTTGCCCTGCATCGCGTGTAGCCAGCAGGAGCATGCAGATGGCTTGAAGAGGATCGTGAAGGCAGTGGCATTATGGTGTGATCAGGGGTGGAAGGGGGTGATCTCCGTGTCCAGGAGGAAGGGTGTAGTCGTGAGGGTGAGGTGCTGCAAGCCTCTAGACTCTGCTCCAGGTCCCTCCCTGGCCCTGCCGGTGCCGGCCTCAGTTTCCCCTGTGTGAGCCAGGCTGGCCCCCTCAGAGGGCCTGGGCTTCTTCCTGCTCCACCCCTTTGATGCCCTGGCCTGCCCACCCCTGCTGGAGTCATTCACAGTTTCAGAGGCCCCGGCTTCCTTCCCAGGAAGGATGCACCCCCCCTTCCCCCCACCCCGCCGGGAGAGGAAGTGAGAAGATGCCACTGCACCGTGGTGACCCACTTCCAGCCAGGCTTCCGGAAGCTTGAGTAGCCAGGACCTGTCCCCCTCCCCCACCCGGCCCATCTGGGGGCCAGACACCACCAGCCTCTTTGGCCCTGGTCCAGCTGGGTGTCACGTTTTAGGAGAGGGCACACGCCCTTTCAGGGTGTGCTCCTGTGGGAAGTGGGTTTGGGTGGGACTGTGCCACCGTGGCCACTGGACCCAAGACGAGGCTGCCTGGTGTGGTCTGTGTGAGCTTGTGTCCAGCTGAGCTGGTGCTTGGGCTAGGAAGGACTCTGTGCCCTTGTGGGGCCCAAGATGGCCAAGCCCCACCCCTGCAAGATGTCAGTGCGAGGCGGGTGTTCTTACCAGCCGTTATCAGTGTGGTAGACCTTGAAGGAGGGCGGAGAGACGCCCAGCCCTGGGCAGGTCTGGAGCCTCCGCTAGAGGGCCAGCGGGGCTGGAAGCACAGCCTGTGGGAGAAGACGGGCAGGGGGAGGCGTTGGCTCAGAGCCAGGCGGAGAGTGAGCTAGCACCCTCAGTGGACCCTGAGTGAGCACCGCTGCTCACAGCAGTGCCCTGGTGGGTGGCAGGCCTGCGACTCCCAGAACAAGATGGACAGGAGGTTGCGGGTCGGACCTGTGGGACCCGCCCTGTGGGTGGCAGGCGCTGGGACTTCTGTGTTCTCCTTGCAGTCGTGTCCCAAAGACACATGGGAGACGTTGTCTTTGCTGGTGGGTGTGTCATCTGCACACATTGGAGCTGATGGAGATCTGGCCCTGCCCGTAGGCATGGGACTTTATAGTGGGGAGCTGCAGGGCTCCTGGGCATATGGGGGGGCCTGCGGGGACATCCTTGGCCAGAGGTGCCTCTTCACATGGTCGTGGATGGGAAATCCCTTGAGTTCCTCTGTGCCTGGAGGTAGGCGCTCCAAGCCAGGTCCCGAGGTTCCTGCCATGTCTGCTGGATTTGGAGTTTGGTGCTGTGAACAACAGCTAGACAGGCCTTCTGGTCCTCTCCGGGACCATTGCTCAGAGGAACCTGAGTTCCCACGGCACCAACACCCTGCAGGTCCCGGGGAGACGTGTGGGGTTAGAGCTTTGCCTGCCGGGGGCCAGGTGCATGGTGGACAGGCCTCAGCCCTCTCTCTCCACCATCCTGCACCCTTCCTTCCACCCCTGCTCCACTCTCCCCATCCCTATCCCAGCACCTAGGAAGCCAGACAGACCCAGGGTGATCCTGCCCAGCCAGGGTCTGGGGCTGTGGGTGTGAAAGCCAGGACGCCATGAGGAGCTGGGAGTCCAGCAGGGCCGTCCTTGAGCTGGACACCGGGCAGAGGGGTCGGTGGAGGTGACTCTCCGTGTGTGGTGACCAGCTCCTGTCGCGTGTCCTCAGCAGGGGAGGCCTCCTGCTTCCTGTCCTTCCAGGGCCCATGCAGAATAGCCGAGCTTGAGCCAGATTACTATGTTGGCCTACATCGAGGATTAGGAGAGCAAGTGGCCCGGGGCGGGGACACAGGGCAGCCCCAGGGCGGGTGCGGGCTACTCCAGGCAGAACCCCGCAGGGCCCAGCCAGATGGAGTGGGTCCAAGGCCCCACAGCGCGCCCCCCCGTGGCTCCCTGCCCCTCCACACGTGGCTCACCACGGGGCCTGGTGGGCACAGGGCCGGTAGCAGCCTTTGCTCTGTCCTGGGTGGAGGGGCGGCCGCCTAGGGGGGGATTTAGCGCTCAGAGGGCGGGAGCCTGCCCGCCTGGGATTACCACCCCTTCCCAGCTCTTCAGAGCCGCCCAGCAGCTCAGAGGCCGCATCCCAACGGGAAGTGGGTCGGAGGTGGGTCCAGTGGGGAGTGCTGGGGGTGGTGGGTGGATGCGGAGCTGGGGGCTGGGTCCTCTGCAGACCCCGCTGCTCCTGGGGCCAGTGCCCGGGCCCTGCGCTGCAGGCTGTCCTCCTAGTCGGGGACGCAGAGCTGGGGGCCGGGTCCTCTGTGGACCCTGCTGCTTCTGGGGGCCAGTGCCCCAGCCATGTACTGCGGGCTGTCCTCCTGGTCTGCAGACCCCACTGCTCCTAGGGGCTTCCCAGAGCCCACAGACCAGAGGGTTGAGGACACTGGGGTCCTGTGGGGTCCCGACAGTCATTCTGAGAACAGGCCTTGGGCTCTTCTGACTTGGCCGGAGCCTGTATTGTGCGTAGGGCCAGGAGCTGAGGTCCAGCAGTGGACCGCCAGGAACCACACATTGGTGCTGTGGTGTGTAGCAGCTAGCTGTTCCTGGGGGAAGCTCTGTCCTCATCCGGGGCCCCCACTGTGCCCCACGCAGGTGAAGGTGTTCCTCAGACCGCACTGATGTCTGTGTCCCTCCCCGCAGGGATGTCAGGACCACGGCCTGTTGTGCTGAGTGGACCCTCAGGGGCCGGGAAGAGCACCCTGCTCAAGAGGCTCCTGCAGGAGCACGGCACTGTCTTCGGGTTCAGCGTGTCCCGTGAGGCTCTGGCGGGGGCAGGGAGGCTGGGGGTGTCAGCCCTGCAGACCCGCCCCAGGGGGCCACACGCACACCCACACGGGGAGGGGGTGCCCTACACGCTGACCCGCCCCAGGGGTTCCACACACACATACACACACAGTGGATGGTCCCCACACCGCTGACCCTGACCGGCACCACCCCCGACACACACACACAGAGTACAGGCCCCACACCGCTGACCCTGACTGACAGCTCCCCCAACACGTGGGCTGAGCCAGGCCCTGTGGGAGGCTGTGGATGGGCTGTGGGGGCTCCGGGTGTCCCAGAGTGATCAGGGCTTGTGTTCTAGATACCACACGGGACCCACGGCCTGGAGAAGAACATGGCAAAGGTGAGCTGGGCCCTTGGCGTCCCTGTCTGCAGGCTGGGCGGGTTCAGGGGCCCACAGCAGGCTGGCTGGGTGGGGCCGGGCTGAGGTTGCCACAGGTGGGCCATGCTGAGAGGTGTGCTGCTCTCTGTGCCCCCACGTGTAGTCGACCTTGACGTCACAGTTGTGCCACAGGCATCCCCTGTCGTCTCCACAGGACTAGAAACATCCGTTCCCCACCCCACCCCCACCCCGCCCCTGAGGCTGGCCATCTGCAGCCCCCTGGAGCCTCTCCCCGGAAAGCCCGTGATTTCCGACTCACCATGGCAGGGATGGTGCGAGAAAGGGCCATGTGTGCCTGTGTTCCCTGCTCGGCAGGGCACAAAGGTCTGCAGGGAAGCCGACTCTGGTCACACTTGGTCCCCGAGCACCCTGGGGCTTTGCAGAGGTCAAGCCTCAGCTGGCCCTCCTTGCAGATTACTACTTCGTGACCAGAGAAGTGATGGAGCGGGACATCGCCGCGGGTGACTTCATTGAGCATGCCGAGTTCTCGGGGAACCTGTATGGGACTAGGTGGGCTACTCTGGGGCTCCCCTCCTTCCCGGGGGCTCTCCCTGTGCCTCGACCTATGCAGGGATCCTGGGTGGGTTCTCCGGGCCCGTTGGAGTAAGGTGCCCACCATGCCAGGGCCCGAGACGGGGCAGCAGTCGGGGCTTTCCAGGCTGCCTTAGCGCCCCCATGTCCACCTGGCCGGACACCGGGGAAACCATAGGCCCCTCAGACAGGTGCACGGCAGGGAATCCTGGTCTCCAAGGTGCACAGGCCATACAGTGGCCTGCCCTCCCACCGGCCAGTGGCTGGCGATGGAGTGCCCTGCCCTCTGCTCCCCTGCTTTCTCCTGCCCTCCGCTCCCCTCCCCTCCCCTCCCTTCCACTGCCCTGCCCTGTTCTCTTCCCTCTTCCTCTCTTCCCTCTTCCGTCCTTCTCCCCCAGTCCTCTCCTCTGCTGTACTCCCTTCCCCTCTTCTCCTGTCCTCTGCTCCCTTCTGCTCTGCTCCCCTCTCCTCCACTGCCCTTCCCCCTGCTTCCTGGCCCTGCCCTCTCCTCCCCTCCCCTCTACTGCCCTCTCCTGCTCTCCGCTCCCCTCCCCTTCCCTCTCCTGTTCCCCATCTCTTCCCTTCCCTTCTGATCTGCTCCCCTCCCTTCCCCTCCTCTCCTCTGCCCTTCGCTTCTCTCTGCTCCCCTCCCTGCCCTGCCCAACCCCATCCAGTCCAGAGGCTTTGCCAGCTCTTCCTGCCGGGCTGACAGGCCCAGAGCAGTGTCCTGGGCAGTCGGGCCCAGCCACGCCTCTGTGTGCAGCCTGTCCCTGAGCCCTCTGATGAGGGTGAAGCAGAGACCCCACGAGACCTATCTTGTTCCATCCTAGGACCTAGGTACAGCTGGGCTGTGACCCAGAGGGGGGTCACTGGGGCTGTTGGGCAGTGACAGCTAGGGCCCTCCTACCACAAGCCACAGCCACCCCTCAGCCCAGCACACATGCTTCCAGAAAGGTAGAGGCGATGCTGGGGTGTGGGGAGGTTCCTGCCTTCACTTCTGGCCAGCCCACGCCCAGTGCAGGCCAGTGGGGAAGGCGGGAGCCCAGAGCATGGGCCGTGATGGTCCTGTAGAGGCCGTTTGAGGCCCTGGGGGGTTACTGGATCCAGGCAGCCCCACTGAGCAGTCCCTGCCCCTCTGTGCCCCAGCAAAGCAGCTGTGCGGGCTGTGCAGGCCATGAACCGCATCTGCGTGCTGGACGTGGACCTGCAGGGCGTGCGTAACATCAAGAAGACGGACCTGCAGCCCATCTACATCTTCGTGCAGCCGCCCTCACTGGACGTCCTGGTGGGGGCGGGGCGAGGCTGGGGAGGGCAGGGGTGCAGTGGCCTCGATGAAGCCCTGGGGGGGCCTGGGGGTAGGGCGGGAGATGCCCTGCGACCTCAGAGGCACTGACCACCCCTACCCCCGCGTGTCTCAGGAGCAGCGGCTGCGGCAGCGCAACACGGAGACGGAGGAGAGCTTGGCCAAGCGTCTGGCTGCTGCTCGGGTGGACATGGAGAGCAGTGAGTGTGGGCTCTGGCCACTGGGTGTGTCCCCATCTCCTCTGCCCCCACGGGTCGCCCCGCAGCAGGGTCCCTGTGGAGAACTGCAAGGGCCTGCCCTGACCCTCCCCCACCCCAGGCAAGGAGCAAGGCCTGTTCGACCTGGTCATCGTCAACGACGACCTGCACACGGCCTACCGGACCCTGGAAGAGGCGCTCTCCGAGGTGGGCTCTGCAGGGGGCAGTGGGCAGGGTCCGGCCGCGTGGCCCGTCACCCCGGACCCTGGGGGAGACCCTCTTCTCTCTCCGTGGCAGGAAATCAAGAACGTTCAGAGGACCAGCTGCTCCTGAGAAGGACGCCCGTTGTGGACTCCCCTCGGCGTCCGCCCAGTTGGCCGAGGCTGGAGGACCCTGGCCTCCCCTTGCCCCTCTGCCGCAGATCTTGGACCAGTGTCCTAATAAAGAATTGCTGGGTAACAGTGTCCATGAGCCCATGACATCCCATCTGTGGCCAGGGACCAGGCACGCCTGCACGGTGGACCCCCAGTCCTGGCGACCAGGCATCTAGTGGTCTGGGCACCCCCAGACTCCCTGTGCCCACTTCTCTGGGGTTTCCTTTGCCCCATCTTCATGTCCGGGAGAGCGGGGGCTGCTGGCTGGGCGGGTGGGGTCCCCATAGCTGGACTGGGGCCCTGGCAGGCATGGACAGACCCGCTAGATGGCAGCTGCCTCTCTCATTGCCTCATGGAGGTGCCATGAGGCTCTGGGTGGGGACAGGGGTCCGGGGGTCCTCCTCCTGTGGGGGTCCCTCCACTGGGCTGTGGTGCGGGCCAAGTGCCATGCTCTGCCTTGTGTGAGGTCCCCGTGTTCCAGGGAGGTCACTGGAGCCAGCGCAGCCTTGGGGGTGGGAGAGGGGCTGGCCTGGTCCATGCCCAGGCCATGCTGCTGTGGTGGGACCCAGGCAGACCCCCCCCCAAGCACAGATGCACATTGGAGGGCAGGTGGGAGCCTGGCCGGGAGGCAGGTGAGGTGGGGCCAGACTGATGTGCAAAGGGAGGGGCACAATCAGGGGAGGCCCCTGCCCTCTCTGGGCCCTGTCCAGCCCCGGGGACAATCGGGAATTCAGACCCCAGGCCTTGGGGGGAACAATGGAGCCCTTGAAGGCCCTCCCCCCACATTGTGCTTGGTGGTGAGAGGTGGCCCTGGGTCAGGCCCAGGACTCGGCCAGGCACTCATCCTGGGAGGATCTCTGTCCAGCCAGCTGGCAGGTGGAAGACCTCAGGGACTCCCATTTCTTGGCCTGGAAAAGGTAGGGCACTGCCTAGGGGGCCAAGTGTGGGCAGCCATAGGGGGATGAACAACACGCACCCTCTCCGTGGGCCCGGGGTGTCAGGCTCAAGAGAGGCAGGCAGGGAGCACCAGGTCCTGGGCCTGGCAGGACTGCTCTCCTGTTCTCGGGACCAACCGGGATGGTGGGGGAGGTAGGGGCCCCCAGGGCTGCTCGGGCCAGCTGGTGAGCGGGAAGGGAAGGGAAGGGAGTGCACCGGGGACCTTCCCCAGCAGCTGGGGCTCCTCAGGCTATGCCGGTGCGGCCAGCCCACGCCAGCCCCCCAGCTGTGGTGTGTCCGGAGGCCGGCCTCAGATGGTTCGGGCCTGACGGGAGGCTGGGGAGGCCTACCCCGCACACATGGGCAGACGCACTGGGGTGGGCACACCTGCCGCTGAGCAACCCACTCCTGACCCAGCCTGGGGTTCCTTCCCACAAACCCTCACGGGGGCCTGCTAGACCCCAGGTCCTCAGCTCTGGGCCCCAGGGGTCACCGGGAGTAGACCAGAGCCCTGTCGTCCAGGAGCGGCCCCCCGTGGGCCACAGATGTTGTGAGAGAGTTGTCTGGGCAGCCCAGGCAGGAGGGGGGTGCGGGTGGGTGGCCCTGGGCAGGGTGCCAGGCTGGGCGGTGGCAGTTTGGGGAGGGGTAGAGGCCCCTGCACAGCAGTGGTGGCCCCAGGCCGGCCTGCAGCGTCACGGAGCCCCACGGGGTGCTCTCGCGGGTTCCAGCCCTCTCCCCACGCCCAGGGCTCCCCGCAGACCTCCCTGTTGTGTCTGCTCTGGGAAACCCCCACAAGTCCCTCCGCAGACCCGGCCCCCCCGTGGGAGGAGGACCCTCACTGAAAGCAGGGACTGCAGAGAGCGCTTGCTGGCCCCACCAGCCTCCCCAGTTCATGCCGCCTCTGCCTCTGCCAGCCCGCCCTGGGCCCGAGGGGCGCTCTTGTGTGTAAGCGGGGGTGAGGTAGGCGAGTGCGCAGATGTGTGCACGGTCAGGGTCTGAACACGGACGGCGCTGGTGCTGGCGGGCTGAGCACCCTGTGAGGGTGGAGCTCCCTGGGGCAGACCTTGCAGGCTGAGTGCGGAGCAGGAGGGGGCCTGAAGGGGGCCCTGCTGGGGGACCCAGGGGCAGCCGTTGTCCACCCTGAGTGCGAGACTGACTGGTGTGCCCGGGAGCTGCACGGTGGGAGGGTGGGGGCAGGGGAGACTGTGGGGGTGGCCTGTGGCCCAGCCAAAATTCAGGGCCAAGCTGACATTGGGGTGCTTGTCGGCACTCTAGGTTCTGGTTCCCCCAGGATCCCACGGAGGGATCCCTTGCAGGTCAGGTGAGCTGAGCATGCCTGGGGGAGGCCTGGCAAGGGCCTGGCAGCCCCTCCTTGGGGTGGAAGCTCAGCCTGCCCTGGAGCGGTTCCTGGGAGGAAGCAGGGCCAGGGATGGGAAGGAAATGGCTGGGCAGGCCCTGGCCCTTCCCCCTGCACACCCATCCACTCCCAGGACCTTTGTTCAGACCCAGGGGTGAGGGGAGCTCAAGGGCAGAGGCCACTCATGAATGCCCGCCATCCTGCTGCCTGCTAGAGCCTACCACCCTCCTCCTGGCAGTCCAGCAGTCTCCCCTGAAGCCCTGGCTTCTCCCAGTTCCTGGCCTGCAGCCTGGGACCCTCCTGGCCCATGAGTATGATCCCACCCACACTTGCTGTGACCGAGCTCTGGGTGAGCTGCTGTCTGAAAGGAGCCAAGGTTCCTGCAAACCAGGACCCCTACCCCACCACCCCAACCCTGCCAGAGGCCCAGCCCCACTGGCCGCCTACTGGCAGCACTGGACGGCCTTGAGTCAGCCCCTCAGCCCTCCTGGGGGTCAGGGTCGTCCCTGGGGCCTGCAGCTCAGGGGGAGACAGCAGAGGGAGGGGGAGCTACGTGGAGGAGGCTGCACACTGTTTCGGATCCTCTTTCCTTCCCCTTTTATTCACGTAACCTTGCCTATCAGTGCATACTTGGGTCAGACCCTGTAACCCAGTCTGTAGTACTGCGTGGCTCTGCTGTAACTCCAGCAGGTGTGGCTTCAGACACGGGGAGCTTCTGCGAGGTGCTGCCATGCCCCTCACTGTGTGCACGCGTGCAAGCAGGTGTGTGCGTGTGTTTGCATACTCCTGCCTGTGTGGGTGTGTGTGCGCACATGCCTGCCTGTGCAGGTGCACGTGTTGTGGGCACGTGTGTGGATGAAAGGATGTGTGGGCACCCTGAGTGTGTGTGCATGAGTGTGCATGTGCGTGCTTATGTGCCTTGCTGCTCGCGGGTGTGTGCGCATGTGCTTGTACATCCTTCCTCACTCTCTGGCCCAAGCATGTGTTCTGGCACATTTCTTGCCCCATCATGGTCCCAGCAGCTTCTCCACAAGCTCAGCGGCCTTGACTGAGAGTGCGTGTGCTCATGGCTACGGAAGGGGCCTTGACCACGGTGCATGTGCTCATGGCTACGGATGTTCTCACATTTCCACCCTTCCGAATACGCGTGTGCACAAACCTGTGTACACACACGTGACCCTTGACATTCCCTAGGGAGTTGTCCGTGTCCTGTTCAGCCCCAGATCTCCGATGCTAACCTCCGACATTCCAGCCCCTCCCCTCCCTGGCAGGCCTATGGCCCCCAGGTAGTGAGGAACCCCCGGACAGTGGTAAATAAAACTGATGGGGGACTGTACTGCGGTCCCAGCCTAGGAGGCAGATTGGAGGAGGGGCGGGGCATGGGCTGTGGGCGGGTGCAGATGCATGTGGGTGCATGTATTGGGCAGGCCTGGCATGTGGGGCCATGTACAGGGCAGGGTATGGGATGTGGGCCATCACAGGCACGCCTGGCGTACAGGGCAGGTCTGGCATATGGGGTCATGTTCGGGGTAGGGCGTGGAGAGGGTGAACTTGGGCGGGCATGGAGTAGTGTTCAGGGGTATGCAGGGTGGGTCAGGGCATGGAGCGTAGGATGTGGTCCTGGTGTGGACATGTGTGGGCACATGAGTGTGTGCAGGGTAGGGTGTGTGCAAGGTGTGAACGGAGCAAGGATGTGGGTAAGGGTGTGGTGGAGCGTGGACGTGTGCAAGTGTGCATGGGTGTGTGAGGGGCAGGTATGCCAGGGGTGAGGCCCTGCAGCTGTGGGCTCGGCCTGGGGTGGAAGTTACCTGGCGTGGGTAAGAAGCACCATGTGTGCTTGGCTGTTACTGCAGTTTTGGGAGTTCCAGAGGCGTGGTCAACAGGTCCCCTAAGGTGACTGGTGGGTTAGGCTCTCAGAGAGCAAGGCAGAGCCTGGCAGAGTTGCATGCAGGGTTTGCTGATGGTGTGCAGGGGTGCAGGACAGAGAGCCGTGCAGGGTAAGGACCACAGTTTGCCATCTGCCCATGTCAGCAGGCATCTTGGGCCAGAAGGCTGGATTTGGAGTATCCTTCTGCAGGGACTGAAGCCAGAGCTGGCCAGTGCAGCCTCCTGACTGCAGAATGACCCCGGTGTCCCCAAGTGTGTGACACAGACCCTGCACACACATACACATGGCACTGGGCATTGGCCCTCGCCGGAAGAGCCAGAGGGTGGTGCCATCTCTGAGTCTTTGCCCTCCACCCAAGCTCGCTGACTCCCCCACTGCACAGGGACAAGAGGAGGGGAGCCTCGCTGCCTCTGACTCCTGCTGCCCAGATTGTACCCCCCTCACCACTGAAGTCCTGCAGAACCAGCTCTGATCACCCCCTCTCCTGACACCTCTCATCATTTGGCCTCTGCCCCTCGGGGCTGCGCCCCCGGGGGGGCAAGCGCTGCTTCTCACCCCTCAGGGCAGGGTCTGCCTCAGTACTCAGCTAGAGCTAATCTCAAAAGCCCCCTCTGGGGGTCTCCTCAAGCTGGCATGGGCATGGTGGGCACATGTTCACTCCAGGAAGTAGCAAACATGACAGCAAGGCTCCCACACATGCCTAGATCACACACCAAAGAGCTCTTCCTCTCCTCACTTCTCTGGGGGGCTCCATCTTGGGAGGAAAAGAGCTGGGGGCCCTCCTGCCACCCCTTTCTGGGCTCCTGTGGAGGTGGGACTGTCAGGTCAGGGGCGGGGACAGATCCTAGAAGACCTGGGGTTAGAAAACCCAGGGAGAACAGCCAGCCTGGCAGGTGCGGGTGGGGGGGCCTGGTGTGTGTCCCAGCCTGAGAGGGAGGGCTGGACATGTGTCTGTGTAGCTGGGAGGGTGTGTGCATTAGTGCATAAGTGTGCATATGTGTCTGAGTGCACACGTGCAAGTGTGGTTATGATGTGTGAGTGCACCAGCACATTTGTTTATAAATGTGTGCATCTGAATGTGTGTGTATCTGTGCATTTATTAGTGTGTGCATGCACGAGTGTGCATCTGCGTCTGTGGGTTCATCTGTGCAGCTGCAGGCACATGTGCGTCTCAGTGCATGGGTGGGTGTGCATTTGAGGAGGGCTTGTGTGTGTGTGGCTCTGAGAGGGGCAAGGCACACAGATGTGAGGAAGAAGGGTCACTTCCCCAGGAACCCCAGCAACCCCCTCTTCCTGCCCCCACCCAAGGGGAGAGGCCCCAGCTGCATAAAGACGAGCTTCCCCAGAGCCGCCCCCCCGGCTTCGGCTGCTCCATCCCACACCTGCCCACGCTGCCTCCTGGGCCCAGAAGGAGGGGATCAGAAGCAGCAGGCACTCAGGGGTCTCCTATCCCCAAACCATCCCAAAGCAGGTACTGGCCTTAGTCACGATGGAGGGAGGGTGGGCCCTGGGGGGCTGCAGCCCCTCTCCCCTTCCTGGAGGCTCAGGATGATGAATAGCAGCGCCATTCTCTCCTGGGCGCAGGCCCACCGGGGGATCAGCACTGGTCTGGGATGTGGTGAGCGGCCCCGTGGTGGTCTCCAGGTGTCACGGATGCCCCGATGTCTGTGTGCCTTGCTGGACCAGTCCCCATTCTGAACAGATGCCTGGCCTCACTTGGCTTCCCAGCGGGCCTGTCCTTGCTACATTTCTGCAGAGAACAGGGTGGTGGTGTCTGGACAAGACAGGGAAGCAGCCCAGAGGGCTGGCCAGTGGCCTGTAGGCCAGCAGGGTCTCTTGAGGAGTGTCGGAAGGAGTCTGGGGGTCCTCAGTGGAGAGGCAGGAAGCAAAGGCTCAGTGGAGGGTGTGGACAGGGATGTGGGGTGGGTTGTGCTGCTGGAGACTGGAACCAAAAGGGCTCCAGGGGCTGGGGGCCTGGAGGGCTCCGTGGGATGCTGCAAACAGGACCCCAGGAGACCCTCTTCAGTGGCCTGAACTCTGCCTGAGTGGGGCTGGAGGGCCATGGGTCTGAGCTGAGGCCCCACAGCCCCCAGACCCTGATTGGGGCTGGCCTCCGTCTCGCTATGCGCTCTCAGGGCCTGGGGTGGGGTCTCCGGGTCTGGGGGAAGGCTGCAGCTTGCAAGGGTCTGGGCTGTCCGGGGCGTGGGGAGGGTGTGGGGGGCTGGCGCTGCCACAGGCGGCGGAGACGAGAGGAGGGGGCATGGGGTGAGCCAGGGCTGCCTCTCCACATACCCACGCAGAAGGCAGAGTCAGGACCGAAGGTGCTGCTGCCCCTTTCACTGAAGGTGGTAAGCCCGCCAGACCTCACTAGACAAGGTCCCTGGCTCCCCCTCTGCCGCCCCGCAGTGCTCCCGAGACTCCCCCCGGGGGGCGCTCCTCCTGGCCTGCTCTCCTCCCCGCCCAACCCTGCCCCGCGTTGAGCTCCGCTCCGGCCCCCGCAGGTCCCGTCCCCCGCCCCTATGACCAACATGAGCTGGAGCTTCCTGACGCGGCTGCTGGAGGAGATCCACAACCACTCCACGTTCGTGGGCAAGGTGTGGCTCACCGTGCTGGTGGTCTTCCGCATCGTGCTCACGGCCGTGGGCGGGGAGTCCATCTACTCAGACGAGCAGACCAAATTCACATGCAACACGCGGCAGCCGGGCTGCGACAACGTGTGCTACGACGCCTTCGCGCCCCTGTCGCACGTGCGCTTCTGGGTCTTCCAGATCGTGGTCATCTCCACGCCGTCCGTCATGTACCTGGGCTACGCGGTGCACCGCCTGGCGCGCGCCTCGGAGGACGAGCGCCGCCGCGCGCCTCGCCGCCGCCCCGGCCCTGGCCGCCGCCCGGCCCGCGCGCCTCTGCCGCTGCCCCCGCCGCCGCACCCCGGCTGGCCCGAGACCGCCGGCCTGGGCGAGGAGGAGCCCATGCTGGGCCTGGGCGAGGAGGACGAGGACGCGGGGGTGGCCGACGGCCTAGGCGAAGAGGCCCAGGCGGAGGACGCGGGCATGGCCAAGGGCGCGGGCGCTGACTGCAAGGCGTCGGGGGCCCCGGGCCCGGTCGGGCAGCACGACGGGCGGCGGCGCATCCAGCGCGAGGGCCTGATGCGCGTGTACGTGGCCCAGCTGGTGGCGCGGGCTGCCTTCGAGGTGGCCTTCCTGGTGGGCCAGTACCTGCTGTACGGCTTTGAGGTGCGGCCCTTCTTCGCGTGCAGCCGCCAGCCCTGCCCGCACGTGGTCGACTGCTTCGTGTCGCGGCCCACGGAGAAGACCATCTTCCTGCTGGTCATGTACGTGGTCAGCTGCCTCTGCCTGCTGCTCAACCTGTGCGAGATGGCGCACCTGGGCCTGGGCAGCGCGCAGGACGCGGTGCGCGGCCGCCGGCCACGGTCTGGCGCCCCGGGCCCCGCGCCGCGCGCGCCGCCCTGCCCGCTGCCGGCCTCGCCCGCCGGCCTAGCCTGCCCGCCAGACTACAGCCTGGTGGTGCGCGCAGCTGAGCGCGCGCGCTCGCACGACCAGGACCTGGCCAGCCTGGCGCTGCAGGCGCTGCGGGACGGGCACGCGATGGGAGACCGCGACAGCCCGCCGTGCCCCGGCCTCCCCGCGGCTGCCCGGGGGCCCCCACGGGCTGGCGCCCCCGCCTCCGGCTCGGGCAGCGCCACGTCGGGGGGCACGGGCCCGGGCGGGGGCCAGGCCAGGCCGGGCGCCAAGCCCAGGGCGGGCTCAGAGAAGGGCAGTGCCAGCAGCAGGGAGGGCAAGACCACCGTGTGGATCTGACGGCCCCGCGCTGACGTGGCCTGTCCTCCCTCCAGGCCGAGGCTGGGGTGGGGGGCTGTTGGGGAAGGCCCAGGGCTGGGCGCTCAGGGCTCTCTTCTTCCTCCCCTTCCCTCTCCCCTTCTCCCCTCCCTCTCCTACCCCTCCTCCTCCTCAGCTGCCCACACTCTCGGGAGGGGAGGGGGGAGCGGGGAATGCATTGCCCGCTGGACACCGGCCCCTCCCTGCATGAGTCCTGGCTCTGTCCAGGGTAGGATCTGCAAGAGCCCCCAGCTCGGATCCCTGAAGGTGGAAGATGTGGATAGGACCTCCCACCCCCAGGGCCTGGCCTAGCCGCACCAGGTGTGGGGGGCAGTGCTGGGGCCTCTCCCCGGAGACCCTCTGGGCTCTCCAGCTGGCTCCCCTGGGCCAGGACAAGAGATCTCCTCCCCGGCAGCAGCTCACAGAGGTCACTGGGGGTGCCTGGCTTGAGGAACTGGGGGCATTGTACTGGGTCCCTACTCCCTGAGGCAGCAAATGGGGGCTCACTCCCCACACCCCCACCCCAACCGCACTTCATGTTTTGTGCACAGCTGAAAGCAATCCTAGGTCTTTCTTGTACAGAAGAGAAACTGAGGTTGGATGGGCCTGGCCCCTACTGGGCCCCATGCTCTCCATTCCCCACCTAGACAGCTGGACAGAGGCCCTGGGGTGGACAGATCACACCCTCTGGAGCCCCTCCCCTGGGACATCATGGAAGTCCCGCAAAGATGTTGGTTCACCTTCTGCCGGGTCATGCTTTGGCACTGGCCATTCTGGGGGAAGGGGTTCCGGGGCTCCTACCTACCCCTTCTCTGGCCTCCAGCCCCCTCCCTAATTCATACACAGTGTCCAAAACCAAGGAAGCCAAATAAAACTAACTTTTGTTTACAACTGCGTATGTGGGTGCATGTGGGGCATGCACACACGTGTAGAGTGTGCACACATGTGTGAGTGTGAGTGCATGCATGTGTGTGTCTACTGTTGCCCTCCAGGGACATGTTGTTCAGCTCTAGGCTGGCTGGGAGAAGCAAGGCTCAGGCCACATGGGTGCCTCTCTGTGCCACGCAGAAGGGGCAAGGGTTGGGGGCACCACTGGACACGCAGATTGTGAGAACAAAGAAAGCGGGCGGGCCCACATGCTCTGAGCCCAAGGTCGGCCTGCAGTCAGAGGACAGCAGACAGCATTGTCTGCACACTGGCCACAGCCTGCAGCATGAGTGGCAGAGGGGACACTCAGGTGGTGGTGGGGGAGTCAGCTGCTGCCAGCAAGGAGCCCCTCTGACTTGACTTCAGTGACCCCAGCCCTCCTCAGGCCAAGAGCAGGCTGTGACAAGCCCTCCTGGGCTGCAAACCCTCTTTAGTGTCCCCAGGCCACACCCAGACCGGGGTCAGCCTGCTTCTGATGCCCGGGACACGCCGAGTCCCCCAGGGGAGCCCCACCTCAGGAAGTCCTAGAGAGCCTAGCCAGTTCAGAATCAGAGCAAAGACACATGTCCCCTCTGTGGGAGAGGAAGTCTCATGGGGGCCGAATGCCCCTGATCTGGTGTGCTGCTGGCATGGTCAGCCTGGGGGAAGCCGGTCTCTGCAGTGGGGCTTCTGTGTGGCCTGGGCCTCCTCCCAGCACGGGGGCTCCAGAGGACCTGGCAAAGGCCAATGACTCTTGTCACCAGCCCGGGAGTCACACCATTTTCACTGCACCTAGAGGCTTGCGGGATCCAGGAACAAACGTGACCCTTCTGGTTGGGTCAGCCTGTTAAGAGGCACACACGGGATGGGAAGTCAGATTGTGGCCATTGGAGAATGCCATCAGCCGCATGGTCCCTGCAAGCCTTGGTCATCAGCCTCGCCCAGGCTGGGAACTGCTCTTGGGGACTTGGTGGTTGCTTGAGGGCCCTTCCTAAACCCTCTGTAAATCACCTCTAGGGTGTGGCCTGTCCTATGACTGTCTCTCTATCGCCCTCCCCCAACCCCATTCTTAATTGTTCTAGATACACTTTGAGGCAGTTTGGGTCAACAGGAAGAGGACCTGCCAGGGGGCTGCTGGGGAAACAGGTTGGCTGTGTGTGCCTGAATACAGAAGTCAGATATGGGGGAGGCTGAGTGTCAGTGCCCAGGGATTTGTGCCAACACTGGCCTAACTGCCACAGTGAGGGTGTGTTTGTAGATGAGATTAACACTGACAGTCAGCACCCTTTGGTAAAGCAGTTACCAAATGCGGGTGGGCCTCGTCCAATCAGGTGATGGTCTGATGAGCAAGGCCAAGGTTCCTGGTCAGTCTGAGGGTTATCTTTGTGTCAGCTTGACTGGCTGGGTGCCCAGAATGAGCACGGTTCTGGGAGGTGATGTGGCATGAAATTCACACTAACTTGCAGACTGAGTAGAGTAGATGCTCTCCCCAGTGTGGGTGGGCCTGACCCAATCAGGTGAAGACAGAGTAGAACAAAAAAGGGGAGTCAGAGGGAACTCACTTTGCTGGAGTGTTTGAGCTGGGACATCAGCCTCCCATCTTCAGACACAGAATCAGGATGGAACTACGCCCCAGCTCTCCTGGGACCCCACCTGCCCTGCAGATTTCAGACTCCTCAGCCCCATAATCACACGAGCCAATTTCTTAAGCTAAGTCTCTCTCTATATATACATATCCTACTGGTTCTGTTTCTCTGGACAGCCCCAGCTACTACCCATCCCATCCCATCCCATCCCATCCCATCCCATCCCATCCCAGGGATCCATCAGTTTTGCGACCTCACCACAATGATGACCTTGGTTGTTTCCACACACTCCCCATGGATGTCACAGGCTGCCCTGAGCCTGCAGGGTCCGTCATGATGCGGACACAGCCCTGATCTGACACTTGAACCACTGCCCTACGGGACAAGGCACCAAGGCTCTCCAGGCTGTGAATTCCCAGAGGTGAAAACCGACCCCAGCAGCCTGCCTGGCACTTGAAGAAACACTTCCCCATGGGTGCCTTGGTTTCCCCATGTACCTGGGATGGCCATGAGGATGGAGGACTGGACCTGGGGTGCAGAGCGGACCTTTACGGACGCCCCATCTTCTGGGGCATGCCACAGGCCGGAGGAAGAGCCCAGGCCTTCTGGCCCTCCTCATGGCCAGGCTAGTGGGCAGGATCGGACAGGACGGTCTTCTTGTCTGACTGTCATCCGTTTCCATGGCCAGAGCCAACTCGCCAGCTGCTTGGAGAGACTGTAGAGGGAGGGGGGGAGGGGCTGCTTGGACGCTCCCAGAATGGGGACTGCTTCCTCCCCGCCTTTGGGAAGGGAGGAGACCATGAGGAGAGAATAACAGGAAACCACCCCTGGTCCAGCAGTGGCTGGGAAGTAGGGTCCAAAACCCCCATGCCTGCCCGTTTCCCGGCTCCTGACCCCTCCCGGGCTCACGGCCTCAGAGGGGGGCAATGGCCCACGGATCCAGCTGCTGGACCCAGGCTGATAAGTGGGGTTCCCTGGGAGCCTCCGTGGCCCAACGGGCCCCAGCCCCTGCCCTTCCACCTCCAACGAGGCCGGGGGGCAACCCACGTGCAGGGAGCCCTGCTGGCGGGGTGGCCCGAAGACCAGAGAGGGCTTTCTGGAGTGGGGGACCTGGACTAGCTGGCAGGCGGAGGCAGCCCCTGGCCACGTGTAGCTCCGGGCCCTTCAGTGGCTTGGGGATCTGAAGGTTTCATCAGACTTCGTCTGAGCAACGTGCACGTCCCCAGTCCTGGTGGAGGTGGCTGCTGTGCTGCACAGTGCCAAGCAGGCTCAGTTTACTGCCCAGGGGGAAGGTCAGGGATGGTTCCGGGTGGCGCCTGGGCGGCTGCTGGCCAGCCCTGCAGCAGGGCTGGTGGGAAGCACATTCCTCCGCTGGCTGCGGGCCAGGCTGATGTGAGGCTGGAGGAACGTGACCCCCAGTCTGTGTCATCCTGGCCGCTTCCTCCCTGGTCCTCCTGGGCTGGTAGGGGGTGCTGGGTCACCTGTGGAATGCCAGGCCGGCAGAGGAAGACCTTCTCCACCAAGGGCAAGCAGCCAGGGGAGCCGCATACCAGGACTGGCACGGCACAGCCAGGCTGGGAGGCCCTGGGGGGGGCGCTGCTCTGTGCTCCTAGCCTGCCCACCAGCCCAGAAGGACCAGGCACCTCTCAGGTTTGGGGCAGCATGGCCTCGAGGAGGGTGGGGGAGTGCCGGGGTAGTTGGTGGGTGCAGGGCCCCGGGTAAGGCTGTCCTGAGGCATGGGGACCGTGTGCCAACAAGCCCTTCCTGTGGAGATGGCCTGGACGGAGGCTGGTGTGAGGCACCCATGTTGTCTGGGCCCCAGGGATTAGTGTACAGAGATAGGAAACCAGACCAATCAGCGGGGCCTCCAGCGTCTCAGAAGCAGGCTGGGGCGGGGGTCAGCCTGCCGTCCGTGGCCAGTGTTTAGACCACAGGTGGAAGGCCACAGCCCCTTCATGGGGGTGGGGGGCTCGGGGTGCACGTGGCTGCACCAGCCAGGTTTTCCCCAAGACGTGCCCTCAGCACTCAGTCCCGAGGATACCGCCCAGCTAACCCCAGGGGACATGCTGCAGGGGGGCCTGGTGACACATGGCAGCTCCACCTGCTGGATGCAGGTGTGGGGTGGGGAGGCCGTGTGAGGACATGGAACGGCGGGGCCCTGGGGAGCTGGGTGGAGGGGGATGTCTGGCAGGCTGTGGGTCTGGAGTGTACACATGGGTTTGCAGTGACCCATGGGTGGTACGGCAGGTCAGGTGAGCTCAGATGGCACTGCACAGAAGGGCCAGGCTGTACGTGCCCACGGCGCTGCTACAGGGGCTCAGACAGGTGGGCCAGGACTGGAGGGGCGGGGGGCAGGGAGCACAGGCTGCCTGAAGGTTAGGGAAGGCCCGTGGGAATTTGTGGCTACCCTGGCTGTGGTTCTGGGGAGCGCAGGTGGGACTCAGAGACAGGGCTGTGTCTCAGAGCACCCCCACAAAGGGGAGCATGGACCAGAGACAGCGGCTGATGGGGGAAATGGGGTTCTAAAGCTCTGCCTGGGTACAGATATGCGCTCCCAACATCCTCGTGCAGAAACTCTAACCTCCCCGTGTGACTGTCGGAGATGGGCCCTGGGGAGGGAGTCAGGGTTCCATGAGGTCAGAGAGGTGGTGGGGATCGGGGTGGGGGGGGAACACAGGAGAAGGGACACCAAAGACAAGAAGGCACTGCCTGCATGCCATGGAGAGGGACCTCACCAGAAACCCACCCTGTTCTGGGACGCTGGAGACACAGAAGTCTGTGTCTGGAGACAGGAGCTGTTTAGGCCCCAGTCTGGGGCACCTGTTATACAGATAATTGATAACTGACACACCGAGGGAATGGTGTGGCGGGTCCTTGAAAAGTTAGACACAGGATCACCATACAACCTGGCAATGCCACTTGGGCTCTATACACCAGTGACAGTGGGATTACTAACAAGAAGCATGGCCCAGGTTCCCGGCACAGAGCCCCTAAAACCCTTGGAGTTCTCAGTGCTGAGCCATGAAGGCCGCTTCTGTTACATAATGAAGTGACTTTGGAAAGCCCCTCAGGGCGGGGGCTGGTGGCCAGGGGACCAAACCCTGGGACCCCAGGGTGTGAAGTGTCAGTCCCACCCCCTAACCTAGGGGGTGGGGAGAGAGCCAGAGGTGGGATCTATCACCCCCCACCAACGGCCGGGAATTGAATCCATCCGGCCGCGGACGAAGCCCCCATAAACCCCACAAGGCCGGGCTTGGAGAACTTCTGGAGACCAGGTCAGATGTAGGGAGAGGGACGCCCCCGGAAGGACGGAAGGACGCGGAAGCCCCAGGGCCCTGCCCCCAGTGTGTCCTCCAGTGGCTACTTCGGAGTCCTGTCTTATCACAACAAAGGGGTTAATGCAGGAAGGAGAGTGTTTCCCTGAGCCCTGTGAGCCGCTCAGCACGTGCGTTGAACCCGCCGACGGACCGTGGGGACCTCGGGTCTGTCACGAGGGTCAGAGTGCGTGTGGGCCCCAGACTTGTGATGGGTCTGTGGTGCGGTGGTGTGTGGGCCTGAAGCGTGAGCGCGTGGGGGATGAAGCGGTCTCCCTCTGAGTGGGCGTGACAGGGACTCCGCGTTGGGGGGGGGGGACAGGGACGCCACAGGGGGCGTGACGCTGACTCCGCGAGGTGGGGCGTGATGGGGACTCCGCGGGGTCATGACGCAGGCCCGCGTGGGTCCGACCCTGACTGTGTGTGGATCGGGTCAGAGCTGAGGGCCCCGAAGCTGGTGTGTGGCGCCCGCCCCCCAAGCACACATAGTGACCCTGAAAGAGGGGAAGGACAGAGCAAGAGCAGAGGACCCCAGCAGCGTGGTTCCTGCACGCCACACCCCAGGGGCTGCGACCACGGTCTCCAGGAGATGCGCACACCACGGCCAAAGAGTGGGGCGACAAAACGTCCACCACGAAAAAATGGCTGCACAAACGGCGCTATGTCCACACAACAGAACCCCACCCACCCTTCAGGAGGAGCACCCGACACGCTCACGGCGCCAGCCAGTCACGGAGGCACGCACACGGCATGATTCCGTCCGCGGGTCCGGTTCCCAGACGGAGGAGGCAGTGGGGCTTTCCGCGGCTGGCGGCGGGCAGGAAGGTCGCCAGTTCTGGCTGCCCACGATGTGAACGAGCTCCACGGGGCTGACGGCGTCTGGGTGAAGGGATGGGGATGGCTCCCCACGGTAACGCCAGGGGAACTCTGCTCCCACAGCAGGGGCAGCGCGGGGATCAGCGCCCGTGCCCCGCGCAGGTGGCCGGACCGGGAGCAGCCGGGGGTGGGGCGGGACGCTGACGGACAGCTCGAGGCCCTGCCCCACCCCTCCGTCCCCGCGGCCAGACGCAAGCCCCGCCCCCCGCAACAAGTCCCGCCTCACGCGCTCCGTTCCCGCCCCTCCCTGGCACAAACCCCGCCCGCAGATACGAGTCCCGCGGCACACGCGCCGCCCTGCCCCAGACCCAAGTCCCGCCGCGCACGCCCCATCCACGCTCCGCAACCAGACACAAGCACCGCCCCGTCCGTGTCCTCTCCTGCACAGACCCACACACGCACGCCCCACCCCAGACACAGGTCCCGCCCCACACGCCCCGCCCCAGACGCATGTACCGCCCCGCGTGCCCCACCACGCCCCACACAGGTCCCGCCCCGCATGCCCCGCCCCAGACACAGGTCCCGCCCGCATGCCCGGCCCCGTCCCACACAGGTCCCGCCCGACACGCTCCGCCCCGCCCTCAGACAGAAGTCTCGCCCCACACGCTTAGTCTCCGCTTCTCCCCGGCACAAGCCCCGCCCCGCTCAGCCCCGTCCCTCGCGTCCACCCGCCCGCCGCCAGGGGCCGCTGTGGCGTCCACCCACCCGCCCGCCCCGGCAGCCCCGTCACGGCGCCTCACTCCTTCCCAAGATGGCGGCCGCGGCCCTGCTTCGGGGCGCGGTTCCGGGATGCAGCGGCCCGGCCTGGCAATGGCGGCTGCGCGCGACCCCGAGGTGTCGCCTGGTCCACGGTTCGGGCCGTCACGGCGACGACCCCACGGGCGGCGCGGCTTGGGCCTGCTTCCCGCTACGCGAGCGCGCCTTGCTGCGCGTGCGCGGGCCCGACTCCGCGCCCTTCCTCCTGGGGCTGCTGACCAATGAACTGCCGCTTCCGGGTCCTGCGAACGGCGCGACCCCGCCCCCAGCGCGGGCGGGCTACGCCCACTTCCTCAACGTCCAGGGCCGCACGCTCTACGACGTCCTCGTCTACCGGTGAGCGCAGCAGCGGCGCAGGGGTGGGGCGTCCCACGGAGGGACGGCCGCTCCGGCAGGGTGCAGGTCTAGGAGCCTCCCCAAGCCGGGCATCTAGACGGGGGCTCCCGGAGGCCGGGGAAGGCCGTCCAGAGCGGGGCACGGGGGGCGTGGAGGGCATCCAGGGGCAGACACCTGCGGTGGGAGGGACGCCCGAGGGGAGGCTACCTGAGGGGCGTTGGGGGAGGTACACCTGCGGGTGGGAGGGTAGTCGGGGGGGGGCGAGTACCCTGAGGGTGGGAAGGGTCCCCAGGGGAGCACACCTGCGGGTGGGAGGGGTCCCTGGGGGGAGGCCACCTGAGGGTGGGGCGGCGTCCGGGGGAGGACTCCTGAGGGTGAGAGAGGCACTTGAGGGTGGGAGAGGCACCTGAAGGTGGGAGGGGCTCCCGCGGGGTGGGGAGCGCACCTGAAGGCGGGAGGGCACCTGAGGGAGGGAGGGGACCCCGGGGGGAAGCACACCTGGGGCGGGAGGGCCCCGGCCCCCCGGGGGAGGCCTAACCGAGGGCTGGAGGGGCATCGGTGGGAGGCTGTCAGAACTGGCACCCAGGGGCGGGCCAGCTGCTCGCACTTGGTCTCCAGGTGCCCACCTTCGGAGTGACTACTTGGGCTTAGCCCTGCTTGGGAAAGCAGTGGTGGGAGGTTTGCAGTGCTGCGGGGGGATGGCCCCAGAGTTGGCGGCTCTCTTCCAAGGGAGGAGGTGAGGAGCAAGGTGCATTTGTCCCAGCCAGCCCTCCTGTCCGGTCCTCTGCTACCTACCTGCGTCTGTCTCGGGGTCTGTCCCAGGGAGAGGGCCACTTCCCTGGGAGCCCAGCGCCCCCCTGCTTGGTGCTCTGGAATTTTCGGTGTCAGTGGCCTTGTTCCTTCCGCAGGGCTCCTTGTTCTGGCTTCCTGGAGACAGCATCTTGTCTCAGGGGTGGCTCTGGTGTTTTCCCTTTGAAGTGGACTTCAAATGGGAAGGGAGAGGGAGCTCCTGTAGGCAGGTAGCCGTCCTTGGTCCGCGTTGCCCCCCAGCTGAGGGACCCGCATTGACGCTCCATCAGCTGGAGCCCTCCTTTCCGCGGGGTTCACTCTCCATGGTGTGCCATGCTGTGGGCTTGGACGAGTGTGGAAGGATCCGTGACCCCAGTACCCTTCCCCCAGTTCCACACGCATTGTCTTGCCTCCTGTGATCTGGGTGACGATCGGGTGGGACATGGGCCACTGCAGAGTGCATGCTGGTTCGTCCAGGTTCCGTGTGCTTGCACGTGCGTCTGCGTGTGTACAGATGTCTGTGACTTGGTCATACGTGTGGGCCCGTGATATCTTCTGTCACCACGGGGGTCCCCTCCTCCCCCTGTGCAGCACACCTGCCCTTCTCAACCCCAGGAACTCGCCCAGCCACTCCTCCCCACCTCTCTGCGGGGTGGTCATCTCAGCAGAGTCAGACAAAGGAGGTGCTGTGGAATTGGGCTCGCACACCTTGATTCCCTTTGGCTCTGTCCACCCGTATCAGTGTGGACCCGTGGCTCCAGTTTATGGGGATGAGGGTAGACAGGGTGTGTATTGTAGGCTGAGTCCCCAGAAGTGGGGCAGCAAGCCAGCCCCTGCAGCTCCTTCCTCTGAGGGTGACTGGTTTCTCCAGGGCAGCACTTAACGCTGTCCTGTCAGGGTCTGGGGGGGACCTGTCCAGCTGGTGAGGTCTGGGGGAGGGGCCTAGGACATCAGCTGGTGGGGTCTGGGGGAGGGGTCTGGGACAATAGCTGGTGGGGTCTGGGGGAGGGGTCTGGGACATCAGCTGGTGGGGT